ATTATTACTTAATCAGAATACTATTTGCAAACCATTAAACTGCAGAGAGCTTGACTTTTATCAAAACATTCCACAAGACATCCAACTTTTTGCCCCAAAATTTAAAGGTAAAATATTTTAGCATTTTCTTGTTTGATTGCTCTACTTGTCTAATCTGTCATGCTTTACATTATTATAATGCCTTAGGTGTTTTACAAGCTGCAAATAGTGGCGAAGTTACATTAAACAAACGTTATAGTCCCAGTTTTAGAGAACAAGATAACAGACAAGGGCACAGTACAAATAAAAAAAAGAGGGAAGATGTATTAAGGTTTGTAATATAATAATATTAAACAATAATATATAACTACAAACACTTTTAATAAACTGAACTGAAATTGTATTTATTTAATGCATGTCAGTTTCAATATCTCACAATTAATTATAACAACTTTTTTGTCGTTTTGTTACAGAATGAAAGTTTGTCGTGATAATACATTAACCGGAGCATTAAAACCAGGAATGCATTTGGATAATATACCAAACAGACAGTGTACGTAGATTATTTGTTAAATTAAATGTTTTAAATAAATCAAATAGAAATTTATTTGGGAAATATTAGTGAATTACATCTTTCCTTTTTGTTAAAACAGATTTTCTTTTGTTGGAGAATATAACATCCCAGTATTCTCATCCATGCATACTGGATCTTAAAATGGGGACCAGGCAGCATGGTGATGATGCATCTGCTGAAAAACGTAGCAAGCAAATTGCAAAGTGTGCTGCCAGTACATCAGCCTCATTGGGAGTTAGACTATGTGGAATGCAGGTTTGTTATTGACATCCTTTGTTTAATATGTGACATGCACCTTTTTTAATTCAAAATTTAAGTGGCGATGAAATAGCAAATAAGAAAAATTAGAAGTAGCAGTTACAGCGTCATTTTACTTAGAATTAGAGGACAAGAGATATACCGTCTGAGTATGTTGTAGGTTTATCAAGCTGACACGGATCATTACGTGAAAAGAGATAAATATTGGGGGCGGCAATTAAACGAAGAAGGTTTCAAAGCCGCATTGTATCGATTTTTCCATAATGGTTTTTGTTTACGAACGTTGGTTATTGAAAAAGTAGTGTCGCGGTTAGAACAACTGCGACGCGCTATCGAAAGACAAAGTAGCTACCGATTTTATGCGTGGTAAGTCTTCATGCGTTTAGATGCTATAAACACAAAAATAGTAGGGTCCGCTTAATACCTGCGATGATCAGTCTTTCAGCAATTGTCGAGTGTTACTTGTGTACCTGTATAGGTCGACCTGAGCAGTAATCGGTTTTACAGCGTAGGTATAAAAAAGCTTGTACGAATGAGTGATCATGTTTATTAAGCGGACTCTACTGAGTATAAGAAACATGAAAAGCGATGAGAGTAACGCTTTCTTTTAATTAAACTCGTTTCAGTTCATTGTTAGTCGTTTACGAGGGTCAAATGAATTTTCCACAATTTGGTAATTCATCATCCGTGTTACAAGTAGACGAAGAGTCGACCAGTTCTAGCGCCGTGAGTGACGGCCCTCATACGACAGATGGATGTTACGACGGTGACATAAGTAACAGTTCCACAGAGTACAATGTTTCGATCGAAGAGGAAATCGGTAATACTACTACGTTGCACAAAGGATTTAACGAAGGGGCCAAAAATATCACCGGTTTTTACCCGACAAGGTGTGTAATCAGTTACTTTCCTTTGTCCGTTAGTGGGTAAACATTTTGACTGCTTTAAAAAGAATTGTCGGTCATTCCGTTTCGATACGTTGGAAAACTTTATTTATAATGTTAACCTTTAATGTTGGTAGCGCATAAAATAATTTTTTACAGTAGATCTTGAAGTTTAGAATGGGATAGATACGCGGGTTACAATATGTATTTATGATATATCTGTAATTTTTTTNGAGCTTGACTTTTATCAAAACATTCCACAAGACATCCAACTTTTTGCCCCAAAATTTAAAGGTAAAATATTTTAGCATTTTCTTGTTTGATTGCTCTACTTGTCTAATCTGTCATGCTTTACATTATTATAATGCCTTAGGTGTTTTACAAGCTGCAAATAGTGGCGAAGTTACATTAAACAAACGTTATAGTCCCAGTTTTAGAGAACAAGATAACAGACAAGGGCACAGTACAAATAAAAAAAAGAGGGAAGATGTATTAAGGTTTGTAATATAATAATATTAAACAATAATATATAACTACAAACACTTTTAATAAACTGAACTGAAATTGTATTTATTTAATGCATGTCAGTTTCAATATCTCACAATTAATTATAACAACTTTTTTGTCGTTTTGTTACAGAATGAAAGTTTGTCGTGATAATACATTAACCGGAGCATTAAAACCAGGAATGCATTTGGATAATATACCAAACAGACAGTGTACGTAGATTATTTGTTAAATTAAATGTTTTAAATAAATCAAATAGAAATTTATTTGGGAAATATTAGTGAATTACATCTTTCCTTTTTGTTAAAACAGATTTTCTTTTGTTGGAGAATATAACATCCCAGTATTCTCATCCATGCATACTGGATCTTAAAATGGGGACCAGGCAGCATGGTGATGATGCATCTGCTGAAAAACGTAGCAAGCAAATTGCAAAGTGTGCTGCCAGTACATCAGCCTCATTGGGAGTTAGACTATGTGGAATGCAGGTTTGTTATTGACATCCTTTGTTTAATATGTGACATGCACCTTTTTTAATTCAAAATTTAAGTGGCGATGAAATAGCAAATAAGAAAAATTAGAAGTAGCAGTTACAGCGTCATTTTACTTAGAATTAGAGGACAAGAGATATACCGTCTGAGTATGTTGTAGGTTTATCAAGCTGACACGGATCATTACGTGAAAAGAGATAAATATTGGGGGCGGCAATTAAACGAAGAAGGTTTCAAAGCCGCATTGTATCGATTTTTCCATAATGGTTTTTGTTTACGAACGTTGGTTATTGAAAAAGTAGTGTCGCGGTTAGAACAACTGCGACGCGCTATCGAAAGACAAAGTAGCTACCGATTTTATGCGTGGTAAGTCTTCATGCGTTTAGATGCTATAAACACAAAAATAGTAGGGTCCGCTTAATACCTGCGATGATCAGTCTTTCAGCAATTGTCGAGTGTTACTTGTGTACCTGTATAGGTCGACCTGAGCAGTAATCGGTTTTACAGCGTAGGTATAAAAAAGCTTGTACGAATGAGTGATCATGTTTATTAAGCGGACTCTACTGAGTATAAGAAACATGAAAAGCGATGAGAGTAACGCTTTCTTTTAATTAAACTCGTTTCAGTTCATTGTTAGTCGTTTACGAGGGTCAAATGAATTTTCCACAATTTGGTAATTCATCATCCGTGTTACAAGTAGACGAAGAGTCGACCAGTTCTAGCGCCGTGAGTGACGGCCCTCATACGACAGATGGATGTTACGACGGTGACATAAGTAACAGTTCCACAGAGTACAATGTTTCGATCGAAGAGGAAATCGGTAATACTACTACGTTGCACAAAGGATTTAACGAAGGGGCCAAAAATATCACCGGTTTTTACCCGACAAGGTGTGTAATCAGTTACTTTCCTTTGTCCGTTAGTGGGTAAACATTTTGACTGCTTTAAAAAGAATTGTCGGTCATTCCGTTTCGATACGTTGGAAAACTTTATTTATAATGTTAACCTTTAATGTTGGTAGCGCATAAAATAATTTTTTACAGTAGATCTTGAAGTTTAGAATGGGATAGATACGCGGGTTACAATATGTATTTATGATATATCTGTAATTTTTTTCGGTACGCACCGTCCCCTCAATTACAGTAAAAGAAATTGAAAAGAGGGAAAATTGTTTTGAAACGCTTCGATATGGAAAGACCGAAATTAAATTCCTAACGTTGTGATGCCATCAAATATTTATTACAAACTAATCGGCGATTGAAATTTATTTATTTATGCGTATATTCATTTTATGATCGATTAATTTATTTGTTAATAAAATTTTTTATTCATGTCTCCATTTATTGAAACATTTGCTGTGTTTTATTCGTTGATGTGTTACAACACTAGGGATCTAATACGTAGTATATTACATTTTGTTTTGAATATTATCATTCAGAAATAATTGCACAACTTTATTATCTTTGTTAACTCGACAAACATTATGATCAAAAATATTTTGATAGAATCCGATGATTTAACCCTCCGATATCTTTAATAAGAATTGGAACATGTAAAATCTGGTGAAGTATACAATTAAAAAATATTAAATTTGACCTTTTTTACAAATAAACCGTTCAGATATAAAAATTTATACTGTCGTTTCACTTATTAACAATAGTATATAATAATAATAATCGGCGAAAGGATATATATAGCTATAATTCTGTACAGTGTAAGCCATTTAGTAAAGCTTCAAATAATTATAATTATATGCTTTAATTAATTAAAAAATACATTATGCTTGAAGATACAACATACTCAAACAGAACATTGGAGGGTTATAGTTATTACATGATGATTCCATTGAATTTGATGATTCAGTTTCTTATTTGAATTACAATTTTGTTACAAACCGGTTTAGAGGAAATATCGTACATTCAGTTCTTCAGTGGATTAACATTACCGAATGATAGATGATTAATTAGAAGTGATAGATCAGTTGCAAAATTAAAATAGTTGATGCGTTGAGAGATAGTAGAATAATCATCATAATTATAACATGTTAATTGAAATAATACATATTATTTTGAATCTGTTTTAGACATTCACTTAAATTACGTGCACTTTAGTCAGGATTTGGTTTAATGAAAGATTCTGTTTATCATAATCGGCCAGTTATAAGTTGCAGCTATTTTTCTTATAGATTATTTTTCTTTTATACACTAAAAAGCTGACAGTGCGATATTTTCCTAATTTAAGCATGTATATTTCTGTGTACCATCACTTTTTAGAAAACTGCTCTTTATTACGGCCGAACTATAATAAAGCGCGGCAATACCAGTCCCTAATCGAGCCCGATCAGTTTCTTACTAGGGGAGGATCAGAGCTGAAAATGGTGGATTTCAAAATCCTTTCGTAGGTATATTGTTGCTTACGAAGTAGAGTGCAGCTCTACAAAAGTTATTAGGCGCAAACATTTTATGCATTTAAAGTCAAAAGAATTAAAGGGACATTTATACGTATAATATCATGTATATCACGCATTATACGTATGTATACCTATGTATATTCATATGTATACGCGTATAAAGAATGTTTCGTAAGATGCGTGTCATCAAATGAAATCAGGTTCTTCTTCAGTTCTATAAAACTTCCCAAGAGATTTTAAAGTTACATAAAGAGCTATTTTAAAATCCACGCAAATAATAATTTCTTGTTTTTAGTAGTGTTCCATCTTATGATACATTCTCTGTCTATGTATACATATGCCTATATGTGTATGTATGTGTACGCGCGCGTACCTGTATGTGTACTTACTTTTTGATATTATAATGAGACATTTACATACATTTTTTTATATAATTAAATTTAGCCTTAACTTGTGCAATTAACGACTTTAAATATACAAGACGTTCAGTAAGTGGTGCATTTCTTTTTCAGTCCATTAGTAAATTTTTAATTTGCAACTGTTCTGAATAACATTTATTTTA